CAGTCCCAGCTGCCTGCTGGCCTGCACCGAGTGTGCCAGGTCTCAGCAGGGTCAGGCAGGGACAGCCAGGTGGGATTAGCCCTTTGTGTCACCCTGCAGTGGCCCTGAGAGCATCCAAGCAGGGAGCACAGCTGTGCCAGAGCCCCCTCATCCTGAATCACACCAGGGTACCCCTGAGCACAGTGGAGGCTGGCACATGGACTCCTCCCAAAAAAACAGCCCTGGACCCCATACCACTACGCCCCGGCTGGCCCCCGCCTGGTTGGTCACATCCCTCCAGGATGGCAACCTGGGGATGCTGGAGGGGGCACTGGTCAGACTGGTGAGCCTGGCTGTGGTAGGACTCCGCGGCTCGGCACACCCTGGGGGTGCTCTGCCACATTCGGTGTGTTGCTGCCACCCCCTGGCAACCTCCATAGCCTCAGGTGCCCCCCGCAGCCCCCACCCAGGGGTGCCCAGGCCCCCCACAGCCCAGCCCTAGACCCTAGACAAGCACGCAGGAGCTCCTCGGGGTGCAGAAGGGCACAGGGACACCGGGGTGGGAGGTTCACACCCCAAGCTTTGCACCAGGTGAGGTGCCTGCCCTGCCCATGGCCTCACATTCTGGCAGCGAGGTTTGTACCACCCCCCCCCCCACCCGAGTTTGGGTGGGCAGAGTGGGGAGGGGGCTGGGGGGCTTGGGAGGGATCACCGTCCTGGCGATGATTAGAAGGAGCCGAGGTTACGTCCCAGCGCATTAGAGACTGTCCCTGCTGAGTGCCACCGCCGCGGGGTGACCCCGCCGTGAACCGCCCGCACCCCCCCAGCAGGCCACCAGCCCCCTCCAGCAGCACCCCCGCCAAGCCGGTGTCCCTGGTGTGTCCCCGCACTGCCCCGTTCCGCTGCCTGCGCTGCAGGCTTTTGCGGGGATGCGCTGACACCGTGTCACGGAGGGGACACGCCGTGGGGAGGCCACACCTGTGTGGGTCTGGGCACCACAGACATCCTGTAACAGGCAGTCTGGTGCAGGTGCAGGGTCACCTCGGCTCTGGATACCACCACGGACCACCTGGAGATGTCTGGCTCACGGGGACAGCGTGGGCTATGCCCCACCTCGCTGCAGGCATCAGTGCCACACACAGGGACCGACCTGTGTCCCATAGATGTCCCCACTCACGGAGAGCTGCTGGCATGTGCCGCACACACGGAGCCGTGCCACCTGCCCTCCCCAGTCCCTGTTACACCTGCCCGCCCCACCAGCCCCTGTGACAGCACCCTCTGGGTCACCAGCCACGTCTGGGCACCCGCCGCCCAAAGGAGGAGAAGGGTCCCCGCTGCCACGTCTTGCCTGAACCAGGGAAAAATCTGTTTCGGCAGGCTGGCGGTGGCATTCGGGGAACGGGGAGGGAAAAGGGCTGAACTCCTGAACCCGCGCCGGCGGCTCCGACCAGATGCCAGGCATGGAGCATCCCGTGGTGCCCGACGTGTGAGCAGCCCCCGGCCGTGCCAGACCCCCCTGCTCCCCTCACGGTTCATCGGCAGGACACGGGTGACGGTGTCACACGTCTGCCCCCCAACCCCCACCTCCCCGTCGCTGGCATGGAAGGGGGAAGGAGCCGGTGGGGGCTGCAGGCTCTGGGGCCATTGCTGGCTGAGCTCGCGCAGCTCATCACACCGATGCCTGGCTGCGGCCGGGGAACGCAGGTGAAGCCCCTCTGTGCCACGAGGGTGGGACGCGGGCTGCGAGACCGCCACGGGACAGCCCAGACCCTCCGCGGGGGCAGCTTGGACCCCCTCGAGGGGCAGCCCGGACCCCCGCGGGACAGTTTGGACTCACCCAGGGACATCCCGGACCCCATCGGGGACCCCCCGGGTCCCCCCCGCCTCCCCACCCCGGACCGGCCGCACGGGGGCGCTGCCGGGGCCTCTCCGTGCCCGGGGGCGGGGCCGCGGCGCGCGCGGCTCCATCCACGGCCTCGCAGCGCCCCCTGCCGGCCCCGCCGGGGCGGGCGGGCACTAGGACCGCGGGGCACCAGGACTAGGGCGGGCACTAGGACCGCGGGGCACCAGGACTAGGGTGGGCACTAGGACCGCGGGGCTCCCGGTGCTGGCAGGGAGGTCGCCCCGCCCGCCCTGAAGCTGCTTCCGCCCGGCGCTGGACGGGAGGGCGCGTCATCGGCGCGCGCCGGGCGGGAGCGGGAGCAGGACCGGGATCGGGGCCGGGACCGGGACCGGGATCGGGGCGGGGATCGCGATCGGGGCCGGGGCACGGAGCCGCCGCCATGGCCGGGATCCTCTTCGAGGACATCTTCGACGTGAAGGACATCGACCCCGAGGGCAAGAAGTTCGACCGTGGTGAGTGGGCCCCGCGCCCTCCCCCGTCCCCTCCCGGTCCCCACTCCGCTCCTCCCGCCGGCGGTGGCCGCTGTGCCTCGGCCCCTTCGCTTGTTTCCTTCCCCCGGAGCGTCCCGCTTCCCCGGGCATCCCCAGCCCCGCTGCTGTGCCCCTCCCGTCCCCGCGGTCCCCGGAACCCTCCTTTCTCCGCCCCACCGTGTTCCTCTGCCTGCGCACACCTCCGCCAGCTCCCACGCTCCGGCATCCATCCCCGCATCCACCCCCAAACAGCTCGGGTGCCCGACAGGGGCGGGGAGGGGGCCCTGTTCCCACCCAGCCCCCGGGGATGTTCTCTGTGCTGGTCCCTAACTCTGCTGCTCTCCCCAGTGTCTCGCCTGCACTGCGAGAGCGAGTCCTTCAAGATGGATCTCATCCTGGACGTGAACATCCAGATCTACCCCGTGGACCTCGGTAAGCCATCAGGCTGGTAGCCCAGAGAGGGTCGGCCAGTGTCAGCTTTGGTGGGGGAGGCCGGAGGGGCACTCCGAGGATGGAGCCCGAATTTGCTGTGAACAAGAAATGAGTTGTCCCAGACTTCCTTGGGCCCCTGTACTGTCCCAGGTCACGGGAGCTTCTGGGCACTCTCAGTGTGCTGGAGCTGAGCTGGGTTCTGGTTCACCACCCTGTGTGTGTTTAGACTCACCAATGTCCCATTCCACAGAGGCACTGTCTGGGGAAACTGTCTCACCTGCTGATGGCCAAGCTTTAAGGGAGACCTGAAATGAAATTCTGCAGCTAAATACACTAAATGGGTCAAAAAGAGAATTTGCCCTCAGTGAGGCACAGAAGAGCTGGAACTGGTGCTGCAGGGGTCACGCTGCTGCCCAGGATCCAGCCAAGCTCTCTGGGACTCTCCCTATGAATATTTGGTTGTGTCCCCCAAAAACACCAGAAGTGGTGTCCTGGTGTCTCTGGTCTCCTCCATAGTGTGGGGAATAGGGGAACACAGAATTCAGTGTGACCTTTCGCTCATTCCCCGCAGTCCTGGTGGAGGAGTGGAAGCAGGGGCAGGGCTTTTCTATCACAAGTAAAACACCTGCCGGGGTGGGCTATCTACCACCACCCTGAGTTCTGGCTGTGCTTCTACCTTCTCGCCTCTCCTCTGCCCTCCTCCCAGGGGACAAATTCCGCCTGGTCATCGCCAGCACATTGTATGAGGATGGCACCCTGGATGATGGCGAGTACAACCCCACGGATGACCGACCGTCCAGGTACAGGGCCCAGCTGGGACCCATGTGAGCGTCAGTGGGGGAAAAGGGGAAGTGCTGGGATTGAGTGGACATCAGGAGGGATTTCTTCACAGAAAGGGTGATTAAACATTGGAGTGAGCTGCCCAGGGAGATGATGAAGTCACCATCCCTGAAGGTGCTTGGGGAAAGACTGGGCATGGCACTGAGTGCCGTGGCCTAACTGACGTGGTGGTGGTCGGTCAGTGATGATTTCAAAGGACTGTTGCAACCTGATTGATTCTGTGACTGTGCGAAACCTTCTCCCAGAAGACACTGAGCTGGGGGTCTGCCTAGGTTTGATCCCTTGGTGGCCTCACACTGTGCTGTTGCAGGGCAGACCAGTTTGAGTACGTGATGTACGGCAAGGTGTACCGGATCGAAGGGGACGAGACCTCCACAGAGGCAGCCACACGCCTGTGAGTGCCCTGGGGTGGTGTGGGGGGCACTGGGATCTCCTCTTGGCTCTCCCATGGAATTCCCTGCTCTCATTGCTCCTCTCCTCCCATCCCAGCTCTGCCTACGTGTCCTACGGGGGGCTGCTTATGCGACTGCAGGGAGATGCAAACAACTTGCACGGGTTTGAGGTGGACTCTCGTGTTTACCTGCTGATGAAGAAGTTGGCCTTCTAGCACACCTCCATGGCTGCTCCACAGACATCCTGCTGGCGAGCAAACAGGAACCCTGAGACCCCAAATTCTGCCACAGCATCCATTCTGCCTGGCCTCCCTGGAGCTGGGGAGAAGGGAGCAGTCCCCCGCTTCATCCCAACATCTTCTGACTCCTGCTGGGATCTGCAGCTCTGTTTGCAAGGAGAGAGATGCCTGACATCCAAGTGGAGACGGTGCCATGTGTTCCAGTCCTGCCTGATGGCATCTCCTCACCTCCACCTTCCTGTGCTCAGCAGCAGGCTCAGCCCTGGCTCTAGCCAGGGGCAGCCGGACTGGGACAGCTGCCTGCCTGCCTCAGGGCTGGGGACAATTCCCTCAGGAGCCCAGGCAGGCTGACTTGGTTTTGATTAAACTGGGATGTTTTCTAGTCCTGGCTCTGCTTGCTGAGAGATGAGGCTGGCAGGGAGTGGATACACCTGCACAGGGCACAAAGGGGGACCCTGCCACTTCCCAAAGGATGGGGACTCCACACCTACCCCGGACTCTGCTCCAGCCACCACTACTGTGGGCACGGACTGTGCTAGGGCTGGGAGGGGCAGGTGGGTGCCAGGGTGAGGAGTGGCAGCTCAGGCCCTGTGCAGGGCTGGGCCGGAGTCCGTGCAGTGCTGGTGGCTGCCGCGGGAGGGAGCAGGCGCTGGGCAGAGCTGGGAGCGTGTCCCAGAGGGGCTGCTCCTGCCCCGGGCCCGGGGGGAAGGACACACACAACCCTTTAGAAAAATAGCTCTTTAATCAAAAAGCATTCACAGTAGAGGTGCCTGCCCAGGTGGGAGCAGGGCCTGTGCCCACCCACGTGGGTGTTGCTCTTTGCCTTTGTGGGCTGCATGGTCTCCGAAGACTTGAGGAACAGGAGCCAACCCTTTCCTTGTGGGCATCTTCCTGGGCACCCAGAGCACAGCTCAGTGTCCGGCAGGATTGCTCCAAAGTCACATTGGGGTGAACCCTGTGTGCAGCTTCACCGGGCCCCGCACGGAGGGTCTCTGTTGGCCCCCTGTCCTTGCTTGCACAAGACCTTGGCCAGGTCATGGAAGAAGAAGCGCAGCTTGCCCTGCACCAGCTGCCGGTAGGTGAGGAAGATGCTGGTGATGTGGGTCTGTTCCATGGAGTGTGAGGAGCAGCTCGGCTCCCAGTGTCCTGCCTGAGGGGCGAGAGTGGGACAGAGGGGTGACAAACACCGTTGTGCCCCACGCAGCCCAGTTGGCACCTGTGCCATGGTGGTCTGGCCCATGTGGGGAGCTATTACCTCCCAGCTGAAGGTCTGCAGGAGCAGGAAGAAGGAGTTGGTGTGTCGGTAAAGCTGGCTCAGCTGCCTTGCCCCACACTCCTCGCTCACCTGGCCCAAGGCCCCTGTGGCAGCACCCACCAGCAGGGACAGGTCACACAGGATCTCCCGCCGCTTGGTCTCATTCTGAAGGAGCAAATAATGAGTGGCCTGAGCCATTCCTGTGCCCACCCTAGGTCTGGATGGGGTCTTCTACCCTCCCCATGCCACCAGGTATGCCCACAGGCATCTTGCTTGGCATTTCTGATGCTTGTGCCAATCCAAGGTGCCTTCTCCAGTCCCATGGGCACACCAGTGCCAGCACCCTCCTCCCAGCCCCTCTCACCGATTTGGATTTCCACTGTTGGAGGCTGAACTCCACCAAGGGCAGCACGGCAGGGCAGCTGAGCACAGGCAGGGCCTGGCACTGGCCCTAATGGGGAGAGGAGATGTTGAGGAGCTGTGCGTGTTCCTTGGGTTTTGGGGGGGACTGTATCCTCACCACTCTCTTCTCCATGTCTTTGGCCTCCAGGATATACTTCTGGATGAGCCTGTTGTCACAGACCAGCCGCTGTGGGCTGGCACGGTCTTCCTTCACGTGCAGGAGGAAGGATGTGAGGAGGAGCAGTCCTGGGGAAGATGGGGTTACCTTGGGCACTGTGCCACCCTCCCTGGGCAGCACCAGCCCAGGGCCATGCCTGCAATGGCAAGCCTTCCCCCCATCCCAGTGGCGGCCTCAATGACCCTGTGGTGAGTGTGCAAGGAGAGGTCTGGGGGCTGAGGAGGGCCTGGTACTGCCCTGTAATCAGTCAGCACAGGGTGCCCAGTGCTCACTGGGGAGAGCCGGGGATTCTGTGCCAGTGGCAAGTGCCAAGGGGCCCCACAGCCATGTCTGTGCCAGGTTTTTCAGCCCTGCTCCAAGCAAGGGAGTAGAGCTCCACTCCCTGTCCAGGCCAGGGCCAGCCCTCCAGATCTGTGCCAAGAGCAGCTCCGGGTGTCACATGTGCTTCGGGAATCCCAGCCTGCAATGTCCCACAGGGAACATCTGGTCCTTGCTGCTGCCCTGGCTGAGTGCTCTCCTGCAAGCACTGCCTCCCCCAGTGCTGCTGGCATGCCGCTGTGCCCAGGGACTGCCCATCCTGGCAACAGGCATCTCCTCTCCACAGGCCCTCCCTACGTCCTGCCTCGCTGCGTGCCCTGGCACTGCACCTGTCCCCAAAAGGCCTTGGCACAGCCTGTTTGCCTAGGATGGGTATGGAGAGATGCTTGGCTGCCCTCGCACTCTGGCCGTGGCAAAGTCCAACCAGTCCAAAGCCACCCTTGTGGTTTGGTGCCCACCTGTGGGGCTCATCACGCGGGGCACACTCTGGCTCTGGGGCCGCAGCCTCCACTGTCCCTTCCTGCGCACTCCCGTCCCCCGTTCCAGCCGCGCACTCACTGTTCAGCTCCATGCTCAGCTGGGGGCTTCGGCCCTGCATCTTCCGCCCTGGGGCCAGCGGCTGCTCCCCGGCTCCCGTCCCCCTTCCATGGAGGGCAGTGTTGGCGCGGGCTCCCCGCGAGCCGCCCAGCCGGGACGGAGGGCCGGAGGCCGGGAGCGGCCCCGGGACAGCGCGGCTCTGCGGCTCCGGCCCGGCCGCCCAGCCGAGGCAGCACGATTTCCTGTTGTGTCGCCGCTGACCTTCGAGCAAAATCACATCAGGGGCCCCGGGCCCGGGGGACGGCTTCCTGCCTCCCGCCGCTTCCTCCCTTGGCTCCGGGCTAGGGAAAGGCGTCCCTGGGCGCCCTCGGTCGCTGCTCACCTGCCACCCGTCCTGAGCACTCGGCAGCCGGCGCCTCGGTGGTCAGTGCCTCTGCCGTGCCTGTCCACGGGGTGGGGGTGTCCCTGGTACCTGCAGAAGGGATGGCGTCAGTGACCTTGCACTGGACAGCCCTGGGAGCATCAGCTCCTGGCTGTGGCAGACAGGTATGAAAGCCACTGAAGATCCTCTCACAGAGGTGACCCCTGTCCCTGGTGACCCTCTCTCAGAGGTAGACTTCATCCCTGGTGGCCTTTTCCCAAAGTTAGACCCCATCCCTGCTAACCCTCACTCAGAGTTGTGGTCTGATCCCTGCATCCATCACCCAGAGGCAACATGGGGAGCTTGAAATCCCCAGGGTGGCTGTGATGCACAGAGATTCCTCTAAGCTGGGAAGGGTGATGGAGCACAAGGATGTGGCTGGCGCATGATCCCAGGGCTGTTTCACTGGGGGTATTGATTTAGAGTGCAGTGGGTGGGAGAAGCACCGAGGGCACGTTCAACACCAGGCCCTGGCATGGCCATGACATCCCCCAGCAAAGCCAGCCCCCACCAGGCACTCTGAGTGGGGTTGCAGAGCCTCATACCCCTGTGTACGTGAGTGTCCATAATGGCACACGGCACACACCCCCCACGTGCACCCTCAGACCCACGTGTGCTCATGCGCACTCCCCTGGCACGCGTCAGGCCACGCGCCCCGATAACCCCCCGCCCCAGCAGCCTCCCACAGACTTCCCCTTGGGGGACACCCCGCTCCCAGCCCACATCCTCTTGCTCCCAGTCTCGCCATAGCCCGTGCATTTCCTTCTCACACCCCGGCTCTCGCACACGCTCGCACGTTCCCACCCCTGTTCCTGCGGCCGGCGATTCCCGGCAGTGCCTGGCCGGGTGACAACAGTCAGAGTAAACACCCAGCGCTGCTCCGCCTGCCCCAAGCCCTGCTCAGCCCACAACAGCCCACCTTGCGGGGTACCCGGATGGGGGGTCCAGTGGGTGCCACAGCTCCAGGAATGAGACTGGCAGCCCAGCCCGCCTGGGCACAGCCGGCGGCAACTGGACCTGTGAGCACCGGGGTCAAACACCTCCAGGTTCCCCCCGCCTGGCCCATCTGCGGACGTGACAAGCTGCAAACACACCAGTCAGCACCCTCAACCCCTCTGCCAGCGCTGGCCCCAGTCCCACCACCAGCCCCATCTTAGTCCCTGCCATGCTCCCCTCTGTGCCCATGTCCCGTCCCTCCCTGGCAAAGCCATTGGCGACGCCAGGTGCCCTGCATTCCATCTTCATTAGGCAAACAAACCCATCAGGGGAAACTGAAGAGCAACTGGAAACTGAAAGTCTAATGGGGTCCCACGGGCAATGAGGCACCCTAAGGTGCCCATAATAGTCCCTTCACTCCAAAATGCTCCTTTTCAGACATGCCAGAAGCTATCGGGCAGTGTCAACCTGTGCCCGTAGGCAGCCTGGTATTCCTCTGCTGGAAAGGGGGATGCCAGCATTTGCTGCCCGTGCCAGAGGGGCAGAGGAGGATGTGTGTGTGTGTGTGAGCCCCAACTGCGGGCCCCAACCCGATTCCAGGGATGCTGTGTGCCGTGGAGGGAGAGGGTGCAGAGGTAGTGAGGCACAGGGACCCTCAGAATGATGCAGGGGCTCCATCCAGGCAGCCAGGGCTCTGGCAGGGGACAGGAAGCCAGGCGGGGGCCGAGGGACTGCACAGCTGGCCGGATCCGGGTGCCAAGTTTCCCACCTCTCCTTACAGGGTGCAAAGTGCCGGGAATCCCGCTGCAGGGGCAGCCGTTCGCACCCACTTTGCCAAGGTGCTGAAGACAGCAGGAGGTGCCAGGAATCAAGGGAGGGGGGGGACGAGGGGGAAGACACCGGGTTAGGGGGGAGACTGTGGATCGGTGGCACAGCTGCTGTCCCCGCGGGCCACCCAGATGTGCTCAATGGGTACCCCCAGGATGTCAGTGCAAGGCCGGGGTAGCATGGGAAGCAAACCTGGCCTTCCAGCGGCAGGGAGGGGGGTCCCAACCCCCTTTGAAGCCCCCATAAAAGGGTCTGGCATAAAGGGAAGAGAAAGTCAAAGGAACAAAGGGAGCGGCTAATCCCGGCGTGAGCAAACAGCCCCGTTTGCTCAGGGCACAGCTGGCCCCGGGGCCAGGGAAAGGAGCACAGAGGGACTCTGGGGGTGCCAGGCAGCGGGGGACTCTCTACCCGGGCTGCCCCTCACCGGGCACGGGCAGTCCACGAGAGCAGAGTCCCTCCTGGATCCTCCAGGCTTTTTTTCTATATTTGCAAATTTCCAATAAACATCCGTGGGCAAATCCTCCTCGAACTGCTCCCATACAGCTGTCCCAGGAGAGCACCGTGACGCTGCTGGGCAAAGGGACTTGCAAAGGGCACCTTGGTCAGGATGCTGCAGCTTGGGGATGAAGGCTGGCACAGTTTTTCCCACCTTTCCCAATTGCCATCAGGCCACTTGCTGCCCAGCACAGAGCCCGGGGGGCTTCCCAGAGGATGCCCATGGGCAAACCCTCCAGCTACTGCTTTGGGCAAGGGCAGCTTGTGTCAGTAGCTCTGCTGGCACCTGGGGTGATTCCACTGTGCCCCTTCTCCCATCTTGCTCCTCATCTGAACTCCTCACTCCAAAGTGGGGCACAGGATACGCCGGGAGGGCACCTCATCCCTCTCCCTTCATCCCATGGAGTCGTGAAGGGGTTAATGCCAGGCAGCCGAGCCGCAGGTGGGCGCAAGAATGAAATTCCTTCTCGCTGTCCTGCGAAGTCTGGGCACAAATATTTGCCTGCATGTCCGGTGGGGAGGGGGGAGACCACCATCGCTTCTGGGAGCTTGCTAATCCCCATACCAAACAAGGATCCCCCATGCCCTGAATGCCCCCCACCTTCCTCCTTCTGGGGTCACTCCACAAAGCCTTTGAGGAGGGGACATTCGGGGCCAGGGGGACACCAGCACCTTTGGGTGCTCCTATGAGCAGGGAGCTCTGTGGTGTTGATGGTGCACTGGGACCGGGTGTGGTGTTCAAGGGCACTGCCAGGATCTGCTTGGCAGGGTAGACGAGACTCTTTTGGGGTCTCCATTCTGCTCCCTGAGCCGTGGCCACCACACCAGGATGGGATGAAGGCGAGAGCCCCAGCCGTGCCCACCATGACAGCAACGCACCCTCTGTAATAAATTCCACATGTTCACAGACAGAAAACATCCACTTTTCCCCCATCCAGCACCCCTCAAACTGCACCCCCCTTCTGTACCTGCCACCCCGAAAACCCCCTCAATCCCCAGACCCCCCCTTAGCTTTCATCTGGGACAGCCCAGCCCTGCAAGTCGCCTACCAGTTGTGCAAATATTGCCGGAACAGCTGTAATCCCTGTGTCCAACGTGAATTATGAGATATTTCCACCCATTACGACAGCCCCCCCCACCCCGCCGCGTGTGTGTGAGGCCAGGGGGATTAGACACGGTACAAGCCGCACTCAGCACAAAGCTTTGGGGAGGTTGACGGCTCTCCACGCCCCGTGACAAGGCGGGTCAGTCGAGGGGGGCTCTTTTTGGAGAGAAGGGGTGACCCACACGCCTTCCCATCTCCAGGTTCATGCCTGGAGCGGGGGCGGGATGCCCAGGAGGCAGTGGGAAGCTGCGGGAAGAGGGGGCTAGAGCATGCAGTTTCGCCATGACCCCATCCCTGGGGAGCAGAGGCTCCTTCCTGCCGCCCCAAACCCAGCTCATGTTCAAAGCCGAGAGCAGGCAGTGGCTAATGAGGGCAGACAATAGGAACTGCATGGGGCAGAGCATGGGTGAGGGCCTGCTGCAATGCCCCCTTGCCAGGCATGGCACAGCCCTAGCACCACGACCCTCTGGAATCCTCCACAGAACCCTCACCACTGGGCAGGGCACGTGCCCACGAAGCTCTGGCAGCACTGCAGGCTGTTCTGGGGGGCACCTGTGGGGCATCCCACCCAGGCTGTGCTGAGATGGGATGATACCTCATGGGACCACCACCTTCCCAACAGGGACAAGCCAGTGCCTGCTCTGAGTAGAGGTGGCAGAGGGGTGCGGGTGCCAGGTGGGGCAGTTGGGGCTGACTGTGGCCAGCTGTCTCCATCCTGGTGCAGCTCCAGCTGCCCTCAGCCGGCAGCCCCGTTGGGGATGTGTTGACGCCAGGCCCGGCTCCGGAGCCTCAGAGCTGCCTTTGTGCAGGGCGCTGCTGCTCACACACATGTGCGGGTGCTGGAAAGCAGCTGGCAAGACCAGGACCCTTTCCCAGCGCTGTCCTCAGCAGGCACCACCCCTCCCCAAGAGCACAGGGACCCCCCAGGTTCTGGCAAGCAACTTCTGCCCCTTGATGAGGGGGGGGCATTTCCAGGGGCAGATCAGGCTGTGGACAATGGAAGTCCAGGCATGCCTGGGGCATCCATTTCCTCCCTGCTCAGGTGCCCCCACTGCAGTGGCCATGCCCCCTCCCTGGGCAGGGATGCCCAGCACCCACCTGCCCTACCAGGCCCCATGCCAGCGTACCAATCCAGGGGCAGCCTGGAAGTGCCAGGATACATCTGCAGCCCCTCTCTCCCTCATGCTGCCACGCTCTGCCTCGGATTCCCCCATGTGGAGAGCTGCAGCCAGAAGGGTTTCCCATCGCTCCTTCCTTTCCCTAGGAAAAGGGAGGGAGCTTCCCCCATTGCTTCCCTGTGTCCCGCAGACGAGCCAGGAGACTGTGACGAGCTCTGGGTGCACAGAGCCAGCACTGGATTCCTGGCACTGGCGGGACAGCTGGGAGCCATCACCCGCCTCCTCCCTGCTCAGCTCTGCTCACGT